GGCCTCAAACAGGGGCTCGAACTGGTGCCCTGTGAGACGGCCCTTAGTGAGGGCGACGTGCTCCGCGTCCACCCTCATCTCCTTCTCTTCTCGGCTCTCGCCGAAGACAAGGTGCCGCTGCTTGATCCTTTCGTAAACGGCTTGGGGATTCTCAGTAACTTCCCCGGTCTTGGAGGCAGCCTTGTACACGTTAGTAAAGGTCTTAAGCCTCGAGCCGCGGCAGCGAGCACGAAGGGCGATGAGTTTCTCCCGGAAATTCATCCCCTTGCAGTTGTTGGCAAGGCCACAGACGTCCTCGAACTCTTCGTAGAACTGGACCACGTCCCGGATGTCGGAGCGATCGTCGGTGAGCGAGGGCCATTGGAGGTCCGTCTTCACGGTCGTGATCGACGTCTGACCTCCGCGAGACGCCAAGGCCTCCTTGAGCGCCTCGGTCTGGGCCGCCAAAGCTGCAGCGAGCTCTCCGGCTCCGCCGCTGGCGGAGTGAGGCTCGCCGGGCTTATCCTTCTTAAGCCCTTCGAGCTCTATCTCCAGAGCCGCAAGGCGGGACTTCAGGGGTGAGTCCCCCGGACCAGGTTGCGGATCCTCAGGGATCGCGAGCTGAAGGTCCACCGGGAGAGGCGCCGGTGCTCCGGACTTAGAGCCCGACTCCGCAACGGCGCCCGTCCGGGCCGCCAGGGCCGGGACAGAAGAAGGAGTGCTCCAAACCTTCTCGGGATCGCCGCTGCTCTTGCCTCCCAGGGCCAAGATCAGCTCGCCGAGGCACGAGATCTCCTTCTCGACCTCCTCTCGGTCTTCCGACCCAAGAGAAACCGCGGCAACGGTAAACCTGGTGCGCAGGGCCCGCACCATCCTGGCAGGGTGCCAGTCACCTCCCATTTTGCCGTATTCCTCGGCAAGGATGGTGGCCTTGGTAGTGATCTTCTCAAGATCCTCCACCGTGACCTCTGCCTGGTGCGCCTTCAAGGCCACAACCAGCCTTGAAACCCGCGTCAGGTAATCCGCGACCGGTTCCTGGTCGGGACGGTAGAGCTCCCGCAGGTCCGCCTGCAGGGTCTCCGCCGTGACGGGACCACCCGTCCCAGCAGACGAGGGAGGCCCGGAACGGGCCGGGCCGCCGGCCACCGGCGAGAGAGCAAGCGCACCAACACGGCGCGCCGTCTCGGCCACGTCCGCCGGCGCAGCGGCAGGACGCGGAGCCGGTACCCCGGCCTCCGGCAGAAGCTCTTCAGAGCTGGGGCCCGGATCGCCATCCTGAGCACCCGGGCCCGCTTCCGCAGCTGGAGCTTCCTCATCTTCCTCTTCATCTTCTTCCTCTTCCTCTTCGGCATCGAAGTTGTCGTAGAGGAATTCCATCGTCTCCTTCCACAGACGCTGTTCATCTGCTAGCGTCGTGGATCGTCCGTCCTTCTTCTTGGTGGGACGGGACCCCGTTTCCTTACGCCAACGGAGCCAGTACATAAAGGGCATCTTCTCCGGGTACTCCACTGACCCATCCTCGATGCACCTCAGCAACGTGGCTCCTTCCGGCTGACCTGCGACCTCAGCGCTCATGGTCGCCTAGCGAAGGAGAGAGCCCCGTGCCACACAGGACCACGGCCTCAAGGCGCACGACAAGCGCGCCTTCGAGGCCACGTTAAAAGATTGCGGCGCAGCAGCCGCCTGGGTGGCCGTTTCCCAGAACAGCCCCCAATTGTGGAGAACGGAAACCCAAAGGGGCAGCACGCACCCTCGTTTTCCGTCCAAGCAGAAAGTCCAACGACCGTGACAGGTCGAACGTCCGCCCAGGACGGGCTGCGCGCAATTGCGTCGCGGCAACGAGAAGCTACCAACGACACACTGCCGTGCTCACTTGAGCCAAAAATGTTATGAATACGAATTACAGAAGAGCATGCATAAAAGCATACAGCACAACAGCCAGCCCGCAGACTATGTACAGTTACACAGGAGTGCAGTGATGACCAGTCGTGCAGTAATTGGCAGTAGTGAACTAATTGGCAGTAATGCAGTAATGACCAGTATTGCAGTCATTGGCCGTAGTGCAGCAATTGGCAGTAGTGCAGTAATTGGCAGTAGTGCAGTAATTGGCAGTAGTGCAGTAATTGGCAGTCGTGCAGCAATTGGCAGTAGTGCAGCAATTGGCAGTAGTGCAGTGATGACCAGTAGTGCAGTACTATAGTCATTGCTGCACTACTGCCAATGAGTGCATTACTGCCAATTACCGCACTACTTAGTCAATACTGCACTACTGCCAATTGCTGCACTACTGGTCATTACTGCACTACCTGCACTAGTCCAGTACTTGGCAGTAGTGCAGTGATGACCAGTAGCGCAGTAATTGGCAGTAATGCAGCAATTGGCAGAGTGCAGCAATTGGCCGTAGTGCAATAGTGACCAGTAGTGCAACACTTCCACAACACTCCACAACACTTCCACAACACGTCCACAACACTTCCACAACACTCCCACAACACCTCCACAACACCTCCACAACACTTCCACAACACTTCCACAACACCTCCACAACACCTCCACAACACTTCCACAACACCTCCACAACACCTCCACAACACCTCCACAACACTTCCACAACACTTCTACAACACCTCCACAGCAATTAGCAGTAGTGCAGTAATTTGGCAGTAGTGCAGTAATTGGCAGTAGTGCAGCAATGACCAGTAGTGCACTAATTAGCAGGAGTGCAGTAATGACCAGTATTGCAGTCATTGGCCGTAGTGCGGCAATTGGCAGTAGTGCAGCAATGACCAGTAGTGCAGTAATTGGCAGTAGTGCACTAATTGGCAGTAATGCAGTAATGACCAGTATTGCAGTCATTGGCCGTAGTGCAGCAATTGGCAGTAGTGCAGTGATGACCAGTAGTGCAGTACTTGGCAGTAGTGCAGTAATGACCAGTAATGCAGTAATTGGCAGTAGTGCAGCAAGTGGCAGTAGTGCAGCAATTGGCAGTAGTGCAGTGATGACCAGTAGTGCAGTAATTGGCAGTAGTGCAGTAATGACCAGTAGTGCAGTAATTGGCAGTAGTGCAGTATTGACTAGTAGTGCGGTAATTGGCAGTAGTGCAGCAATTGGCAGTAGTGTGGTAATTGGCAGTAGTGCACTAAGTGGCAGTAGTGCAGCAATGACCAGAAGTGCAGTACTTGGCAGTAGTGCAGCAATTGGCACTACTCTGGACGCAGGGTGCCCAGAGCTTTTGGTCACCCAAAATCTCGATTCCGGGTGGGGAAAGGGCCTAAATGACACCCCTGGAGTTCGAACCAGGGGCCTTCTCCCTGTCCCCCTACAAAGCCCCCGCCTGCCCGTCAGGCTATGGAAGAATAGTTTTGGGGAAGGCGTTCACCCAATCTGGTGTTTTCAAGAGAGTCAAGGCGCCGTCATTTGCGCCTTTCCCCCCATGCAGAATCTTTGAAATGACCCAAATCTGCCACTGCAGTAATTGGTAGTACAGCAATTCGCAGTAGTGCGGTAATTGGCAGTAGTGCAGCAATGTCCAGTCGTGCAGTACTTGGCAGGAGTGCAGTGATGACCAGTCGTGCAGTAATTGGCAGTAGTGTGCCCGGACCCCCCCGCGCCCCCACCGCCCACACCGCCCCCACCGCCCCCACCGCCCACACCGCCCTCACCGCCCTCACCACCCCCACCACCTTCATCCACCGCCACCAACCCCACCATCTCCATTACTGCCACGCCTGCACTGTGCCTCCACCGCTTTCACCGTTCCCACCGTCTCCACCGCTCTCACCGCCCGCTGTATTTGTAGGTGTTTAAAAAGTAAAGAGTATTTAAAGGCTGCCAATGTGTGCCCGGACCCCCCCTCGCCCCCACCGCCCACACCGCCCCCACCGCCCCCACCGCCCACACCGCCCTCACCACCTCCACCACCCCCAGCCACCACCCCCACCGTTTTCACTACACCCACCATCTCCCGGCCTTGCGATGCGCCGCCGCGCGCGCGATTTTTTTGTCATATACCACCCCATGGCCACAACTGTACTGGTTCCGTTTATACTACTGGCAGTAGTGCAGCAATGACCAGTAGTGCAGTAATTGGCAGTAGTGAACTAATTGGCAGTAATGCAGTAATGACCAGTATTGCAGTCATTGGCCGTAGTGCAGCAATGACTAGTACTGCACTACTGGTCATCACTGCACTACTGCCAATTGCTGCACTACTGCCAATTGCTGCACGACTGCGAATTGCTGTACTACCAATTACTGCAGTGGCAGATTTGGGTCATTTCAAAGTTTCGATTCTGCATGGGGGGAAAGGCGCAAAAGACTCGCAGACAGCACAGCTGCAGACCGACCGCAGCAGCCGAAAAAAGACACCCCAAACCCTCAATCTATAGACCCTAAACCTTCCCCCTAATTCAAATTAGGGTTTAAAGGGCGGTGCTACTTCCGGGTGGATCGGGGGAAAAGTGTTTTTATAATTAGGGGTCTGTTTATTGTTTGAGGGAAGGTATTAGTCAGGAAGTCAGAGCCCAAGTGTCAGTGTATGCCCCTTTTCGAACTCATCATGCACAGATCTTATTGCTGGGGGTGAGCCCTCATCTGATGTGAAACGAGTTCCCACACCTTGAGAGGAGGTATTGCAGATATTCTCCCCAGTGAACTGGACCGTTTCTGCCTCCACACTAGGACTGAATTAGCTGGAATGATGAAGACGATATGGTGGAACGCATAGTTACCAGGTCCAGATGTGCCTTGGTGCTTTGCAGAAGCATGGAACGACTGCACGGAGTCACTGCAGGGAGTTCTACAAACAACACGTGTATCTGGCCGGCGAAAGACACTTTCGTTTCATCGCAACCAGGAGCCAGTAAACAGAGTCTCAAGGTCGAGCCTCGGTGCCCCCATAGGTGTAAGGCCCCTTGTGCCCAACGAAAGGGCATGCAGGACCCAGCATTCAATAATCCAGGCCGGAGCTAACGAATACTGTAGGTTTCGACAAACGAATTGAACAGCACAATTTTGCACAGGCGTGCAGCCCCGCTTGCTGCCAGCACGCTTGAAGAAAGGCGCCGCCGATAATTCAGTGGTGCAGGTTTCTCTTTGAGTTTTAAATTTTTCAGCTTTCGGATTCTTGCTTTACCGGCACGAGACGTGAGGAAGGAATGATTCAAGTTTGGGTCTTGAGTCCTGGGCGTCCTAAGTGAGATTACATTTTTCCATGCACGGCCAATCCGTCGCCAGGTTCTGTTGCATCGAGACGAGAAATCCGATTGGTTGTTCAACACCAGCTAGAACCCCAGATTACCTTCTTTTAAATCGGGTAGAACCTACAAAGCCTCCTGCTGTCACGGCATGAAATAAGAAGCTCGACTCGCGTCCTTGACAGGCCTGGATCGTGTGAAAGAAGATCCAAGGGTTGTCACTCACCGCATTTGGAGTTTTTGCAAAGGGCATCCGTCAAGCTGCTGATTAGGACTGCAAATTACGAGGTTGACCGGAACAGGACAGAAGCTGGATTTAGTTTCTTATCCTCGTCGTGTTAACAGACAGTTACAGGTGAGCGGCTTGTGTCTGCTCGAGGGTGAGCACTCCCAGGATACCAACCACACCGTAGCGACTCTGCATTTTCATTTTGACCGCTGCTCTGCTCTAAAGGATCCTTTTTTCCTGTTCTGCTTGTCAAGGCCCCATGTTTTGTCGAATGATTTTTTCTGGGACCTCTTTCCCTGAAATTCGGGGACCTGAAATTTCCCGCTCTGCGAATGGACCTCTGGATTCGCGGCACTGCACAGGTCACAGGCTCAAACCAGGAGAGCCGAGATTCCAAAGGGCTTGATAAGACATGGCCAGGGGCCTGTGGTCCATACGCACGAGGTTTCTCTGCTTGCCGCAGCGGACCTGGACTTCTCTGCCTGCGTTGAGAGCCCCGGCCTACTCTCCGACTTGGACGAGAGCAGTGGCGTGACTGCAGCTACTCCCGCAGTTCGACAGAGATGTAGCTTCAAGTTTCGTCCTGACCCTTGCAGGGCACACCGACTCAAAACGAACCTCAAAATGTACGTAAGCTTAGCATATAAGGCCCCAGAGCTATACTATGCTATACTGCTAGACTCTGCTAGACTCCAATTCTGCAAGCAACCCGTGCCTTCAATGGAAGTGCAGTCGAAGACTTTCAGGCTTGGGAGGGCAACTCGATCCTTTCGGCGAGCTCCTTGGCAGTCTAACTTAAGATCTTAAGGTTTAAGCCTCCGGGGCTTGGATCTCAAGTCTAGGGTTCAGGGTTCGATTGAGCCAAGCTGCTAAATCGATTGCTCGAGGGCCTCGAGGGTGGTTTCGGTCGCATTGGATCTGAATATGCCCACGTATGAACGGACGAATGTGTGTATTGAGCTCTTTCCACGCCACTTCCATAAAAATGATTCCGAACAACGCGATCGACAAGTGGCTGAAGCGAGTTTTAAAGCACGCTAAAGCATCCAGGCATCATACAACCTCCCAAAACTTAGGGAAGCTTTTGCAAGCTGCTACTTGAAGCATTCCCATTATGCGCTTGTTTCGGCGCAACCAGACGGCAGTGGGTTCTTGGACCACTAGCTTTTTTATGTAACCCTAAACTGAAGCCCTGGTCGAGAAGCAGAAGGTCATGACCCATACAATTCAGAATGATCTTTACAATCTTGCAGTCAGACCTCCAGGAAAATCCAGACTCATTGCACATCTCTCTCCAAAGTTGCCGACTTTGCATCGAGATGTGCGATGAGTCTAGATTTTCCTGGAGGTCTGACTGCAAGATTGTAAAGGTCCATTCTGAATTTGTAATTAACTGATCAGGGCGATCTGATGTCCGGCATTTTGCCGATGGGTGTGAGAAGATGTGAAGAGACCGTTAAACGGTTTCAGCAGATCACAGACTTCACTGAAAGCCGAAATCACTACACCATTGTACCTATCTCCCTGCTTCGTGTACTCAGCCGTCAGGAAGCAAAAGAATCACCCATACACATCCCTTACAACATCTGGCGACTTTCATTTCAGCCCTTAGACTCAGCAAGCCCCGAAGCCACATTCCGGCCTTTTGTCGCCGCAAATACTGCACATCTCTTGTGCCGCTCATTCCTGTGGCAAACATAGACACAAAATTGCGATAGCTTTGTGTCTTTCATCATGTTCAGCTGTAGGTGCATGCTTTGTCGGCAATGTTCTTTTGAAGCCAGTGACATCTTTGATTTGCATTATGCACTGCCCTGGAGCCACCGCAGGCTTGACTTGAGCGTGATGGACCTCCTGGTTACTGGGGCTGTGGACATGGGTGGGAGCGGGGTTCTGGGCAATTAGAACGGGCAGCAGGAGGATAGTGGAGTCAAGTTTGGGGCTTGGCTTTGAGATGGTCCTGGATGCTGTCAACACATGTCAAAAGATGATCGCCGAGGGCAACCTTCAGTTATCATGAGTGCCGTCATGGCTTCAACACAAAGGTTCGCCGTGCATTGGCATTCTCCCTTGTCAAGGCCGGGTACCTGCAGGAGCTCGGCTCAGCTCCGGTGATTTCCGGTGGCTTCAGCTATGGAAATTCCTTGCTATACGTTCTTAGGGATTTGTTTCAGATGACGTGAGACGCTTCCTCGAGTGCAGATGTTTGCTTGTGCTGCGTAAAGTGCCTTTGTTTGCGTTTTGGATATATCATTGCAAACCCGTCTCTCTGTGCAACAACTTGTAGACACTAGTCACGAGAGGTTTCTTGCTAGGTCTGATTCACCAGCCAGCACGTCACTAGTCACACGATGTCACACGTGTATTCTTGCAAGGACAATATGAGCCCTTTGTGACTGCCCGCAGGGCAGCCAAATCTTCCGTAAACCAGAAGCTGACCCGATGGCACAAATCAGGGGCAGCAAGAAGCTTGACTGCTGAAACTGCAATGCGCGGACAGGGTCGCAACCTAACGAACTGCCACTGTCTCGAGAAGTTGGTTTGTGTTGCTTTGGGGCTCCATTGCGGGGCGGGCTGCAAAAACATTGTGAAGATTCGCTCATGTCACCTGCCAAAACCAGCAGACTTTGCTCATCACTGCTTAGGTCACGCTTGGGCTCTACCTCATCCACGACCTTGAACATTCTAGCTAGGGCAGTCCACCCTTCCACTCGCAGTTGCGTGAAGGGCTCGAACGAGCGCTTGCTATATTTACACTGTACTTACTGTGACTGCCACTACCACTTCAATTGCAACTGAGACTGTCGTTTCCGCTTCTGCTACGTTTCTGAAGTGTTTTCAAAGGGCCAAACCAGGTAATCGCCAGATGTTGCGTTTTAGGATTTGGCTCGCACCTTTGCCTTAAGTTCACAACGAGGCCAGCTTTACAGATCCGCTGCCACTCGAAAAGCTGGCTGTGGCGGCAGCTCGTCTGATGCCCATCGTAGGAGCAGTGTGGGGTCTACAGTCTCGGCAACCGAAACCGCTTGCATGTGTGGGGTCTTCTTCCGTGTCATGCTGCCTTTGGCCTTCATGTTGCGGTGCGCGGGATGCAGTTGCGATGTGCATTACGTGACGCAAGGACCCGGCAGTCCTTGTCGGGTCTCCGGTCTCCTGACCCTTCACCTCGAAGTCCACAAGAAACCAAATTTCTACTTCTAATTGTTGTTTGTGGCACATTGACGAAAGTTTGCATTTTGCTTTCAGTCTGAGGGCGTGTCCAGTCAAGTCCCTGAATCTGCAGTCGGGCTACTTTCGGTGCCCTGGAGTTGCGAACAGCTGACTTGTGTTAGCGCCGAGTGCACAGGATGACCACTTATGACGAGCTCATCTTGACATTTCCGAGGGCTTTTGCATCGCTACACCTGACATCCTACGAGTCCCAAAACAAGACAAGGTTTCGCAGAAGTACTCCTCCGTCGGCGACATGAAGAAGGCTTCTGTGCTTCGGCTGCAGTCGTTTCGAGATGAATTTTTTTCTGCGTCGCTCACAGGGATGAGGTTTGCGGATAAAGACTTGGTGTCTCAGCAGCAAGGGCATCCAATGCGCAATGTCATTGACGAAGGTCTTGCAAATTGAAATTCGATGACCGCTGCGCTGGAAAGGTTAGGTTACAGTTTGAGATCTAGAATCTAGAATGATGGCCGTCGCGAGAATGCGAGTTTAGCATGCCGTGTGAGCAGCAGACCCGCTGACCCTGCTCCCGAAGTATAAAGAGTCTTAATATCAGCAGGGAGCAGCGCAACAACACGTCAGTGTCAGGAAGAGAGCCAGAGCAAGAAGACGGCAAGCGGTGCAGAAACGGACCAGAAACCTTGCAAGTACACATGGCCTGATGGGGCGATGAATTTCCGGCAGAGGGCGAAAATGTCGTGTCCTGCGATGCTACCAATGTGGCAGACTCAAGGGTCTGTTTTCAAGACCTTGACCAGAATCCAGGTGAAGCATCAACGATCCTTGTTGTTGTTGCCAATGTGCCAAGGCAGTTGGACCGAACCCGAAAAGCCCGGCGGTCAGCCCCTTCCAAGGAAGGAGATGAGTTCATGTTCGTGGCGGAAGAGGTGGCCTCTGCGCTCAGGTGCAAGTCCGGGATGTAAACGGTGTTTGGGATTTCCGTCTATCGCTTGCAGCCGAGGTGCGGGGGCCGCACGGGCAGAGTGTCGCTGTTGGGTAGGGTCTCCGAGGTTTTCGATGGGTTGTCCCCAGGACGGGTATGGCTGTTTACATTATTTGCGTTCTGGAGATGCTTTGCGACTAGATTCGTGCGGCCCGCAATTCTCATAACTGTTTGATAGTGTCTGCCATAGCAGCAAGCTCTATAGGACGACTGATTAGCCCACAGAGGCAGCAAAGAGGACGAATAAGAAAGGCGGGGTGGAGGAGTATAAGAGGAGGGGTAAGAGCGGGTTTTGCTCGCCCGGGGCCGAGGCGAGTTCTGTCCCCAACAAGAGCTCACGGCACCACACCCAAGCAAATCTGAAGAAGAAGAAGACAGCCACGACTGGCCCTGCACAGCGGGACGCCCAGCTTTCCAGGATGGAACCTGCTAAGATCATCCTGGCCGAGGCCTTCAGATTGTTGTGTTGCGCTTTGCAGCCTTCACTCCTTGTTGGCAGTGGTGTGTGAGGCAACGTGGTACGCACTACAATGCTACGAGGTTCTAACGTTGCATGTTGCTATAGAGTCTATAGAAAAGAATTGGACAGTGTAGCCGTGCAGCGCACCGCGGACAATTCCCTCTGGCACGCGGGGGGCCCAGATGCCATTGTAAATTCCAATACATGGTATACATGGGTCACCTTCTGGCCTCCAAAAAGCTGAATCTAAAAGCATTTAGCCCAGGTGCCGCGCTCCCGAATCCCGCGCTTACTTTGGGGAAGCATTGCTGTGGCCATGCTCCTGAATTTGCCAGTACTCACAGAAACAGTTGTGTCCTGGTGGTCTCTGTTTGGTTGGTCTCGTGCTGGTCTCCTCGTGGTTCCTGCTTGTCTTGATCCTATAGAGGTTCTAGCAGTCTTGGGCGTCACGGTCGTTGTGGCACTCTTCCTCTAACTTGTTCTAAGTGCCGTCTTTCTACAAAGATGCTTCAGGGTTTTGCGGGGATGCTTCAGCCGGCATATGCACAACTTGAGCTGCCGGCGAAATTGGTTTTTGGAATTGCGATGCTAAGGATTGCTAAAGTCATGAGATTTGAAGTCCATCGTACGCCAGCTCCGCGCTGAGCAGAGACCCGCAGCACGTCCTGGCAGGTGGAGGGCGGCGACATCGAAGAAGATATGGACCCCAGCTGGGGAATGGGCGGTTCTGTAGACTGCCGGGTTTGGTTTTTATCCTGGAATCCAGGTCCCTGATGTTGACGATATCTGTTGTCGATTCATAGTCAAACTCCTCTCACATACACTTTACTCTACAGCACTGCTGTTCGGCAAGAAGGGCAGCCACAGCAGCTGCGTTTGCTGGACCCGAGCGTTACACAATGTCCAGATGCCTTTGGAGCCAAGACTTAGGAAAGTACACTGAAGACTCTAGACCAGAGCTCGAAAACTCAAACTCTACGATACTCACAGCCTGGTTTCGCAGCTGAGGACTCGTTGAATTTCGGGCTCTTCACGCGGAAGCCTTCCCCAACGAAGCTTCTGTACCAGTCTGTGCCGGCCACTCGTCTGCGGTCCTAGTCCACACCAATTGCAGCTCGCAATCGTATTGTGCTGCCTAGAAGCAAGGGCAGGAAACCTCTTTGCTGCCCGGAACCAGAGCGGATATTGGGAGAGTGTATTTTGTGGAAGATGTAGCTAGTCAACAGTACCTACCGTCGTTCATTGGCTCAAGAAAATATGCGTCTGCATTCTGGCTGTTCTGCCTGTAAACATAGGTTATCAGCCGTAGGTCTCACTTCGTTTGTAGATCGCGATGGATGCTCCCGTAAATCCTGCAGGTATTCCCGCGATAGACATTTCCGCGGCTCGCGTCGATACCGAGGATCTCAATTCTCTTCCTGCCATGTCCGTCCAAGACGATGGCACGGATCAGGTTGTCCCCGGTACCCGAGAGAGTGGCCAAGTTGTTCCTCTGACGGCAGAGGCCTTGGCCGTGATGGGCCAAACAGATCCCCGAAGAGGTGCACCAGGAGCGGTGTCAGAATGGGCCTATGTGTCAAGCCCAGCGCACCAGCACGCATCCCTGGCGGGATCGCCTCAACAAAATAATTCGGTCCAATATTCACCCAGCGAGATCAGAAGCGTCGCGAACTACTATCAACAACATGTCCTCGCACCGACTTTGCAGCAAGCAGTCCATGTACATCAAGCCGATACAGGACCAGCTGTTGCTGCTGAAGCTGAAGCACGCCATAGATTGATCATGGCGGAAACAAGCAATTTGCACAGGGAGCAATTCAATCAGCTTCATGCACATGCGCTATCCGGTGCCGCTCAACTTCGGTTGGAGTTTGCTCAAGCGGAGTCGTTTGCAACAGAAAGAAGAAATGCTTCGAGCAGCCGGCGAAAGCATGGCTATCAAACACAATGATGAGTTGTCGCAGATGCGACGCGAAGCCATAGACTACAAAGTCAAGCTTCATCAAGCTGAGGTCACAGTCTCAGATGTGGTTGCCCATGCAGAGAGAGAGTTGGCTAACCGAAGCCGGGCCAGCCAAGACACCGTCGCAGCAATGAATGGCGAACTAAGCCAACTTAAGTCTGAAATGGGTGCATTCATGGAAGTGCACCGCCAACAGGCTGAATCGATGACGAAGCTCGAACGTACCAACGCAGAGCTTCGTGGTCGCCTGGCGAAAGCTACTACGGCATATTCACCAAATGTCGTAGGAGATACGTCACCTATCGAACATCCTATTCACACCCCTCCGGGTCTGGGTAAGGGAGATGGTGGCCCGCCAGGCGGAGGCGGAGATGACTCGCCTCCCGAAAGAGACGGCGACGGGGATGAGCCCGAAGACGATTCCCGTGATAAGAGGAAGAAGAAGAAAAGGGACAAAAAGAAGAAAAAGAAAACAGACTCATCTGATTCATCATCGTCGTCTTCTATTTCCCTATCCAAGAAGGACCTCCTGAAGATGCTTAAGAAAGTCACTAAGTTCAAGAAGGACAAGGACGACGAAGAGGAAACCGAGGCGACGAGGGGAAGACCTAAGGTCAAGGAAGCCGAAAAGATTGTGTTTCCGAAGTTCCCCCAACCAGAGAACTATCGCAACTGGAGGCTTCGCGCCCGCGAGGCTGTGGTCGCCGCCTCTGACCGTCCCGATGAGGCTTTCGAGTGGCTCGGCGAAGTGTGGAAGGATGACACCACTGAAGAGTCCCTTCGTGATCCTAACGGATTCACAACGCTTGATGCGAAGATCCTCTCAGCAATCACAAACATTCTGGAAGGTGATTTTGCTCGCCAGATTGACACTTTTAAAGAGAGGGAAGGACACGAAGGACGATTAGTTCGTGGCCGTCAAATTCTGCATAAGCTTAACGCTTATCTGTCGACCAACGCTCTCCATGGGTCCGTGTACGATATGGAGGATATGCTTAATGTCGTCATGCTTAACGAGAACCTAGTGCAATTCGTGCGTAACTGGGATACTGTTCTCTCAGGCATGAAGAAAACCCCTGCTGACGATGTTTTGCAACCCCTGTTTCATAGACAGGTCAAGAAGTCTAAGCTTTTGGCTCATGACATCGCTATCTATGAAAGGGCAGTAGACGGCACAAAGGAGAAATCCTATGAATACCTGTACGATGCCGTGAACCGAGTCATCAAGATCAAGAGGCTTGAGCGCAACCGGGAACGGATTGCAAGGCAAGCTGCAGCAGGTATGCCATCAGCACCCGCACCGCTAAAGCGTGTGCCCAAAGGCTTCTGCATCGACTTCGTTCGGAATGGTTCGTGCAGCAAAGAAAAATGTTCCTACAAACATCAGATACCAGAGAAGCCACGTGGTAGGACCCCGAGCAAAGGAAAAGGCCGAGGCAAGTCGCCCTCCGGAAGGGGGAGCCCATCTCCCGGAAAGATCAATGCCGAGTGCAAGTTTTTCAAGCACGGTAAGTGCAACAAAGGTGACAAATGCCGTTTCATTCATAAAGGCCAGCCTTCTGCTCCTGCCACTGGTAGCGGTAGAGAGTCTAGCGGCGAAAAGAAGAGTAAGAAACAGAAGAAAGAAAAGAAGCATAGGAAGAAGTCTCGTTCCAGCTCTAAAAGTTCCAAGGGTAGTGGAGGCTCCAAGGGGAGCAAAGGCTCTGGGAACAGCAAGGGCTCGGGGGGGCGGAAACCTAAGGCTTCGCTTCCTGCCGCCGTCTGCCTCTTAGGTGCACTTGTCGCAGGTTCGGCATCCCAAGCCGATGCACACGCTTTCCGGAAGGAAATGCCGAACTATATTGACTCATGCACAAGCACCGCTCACGTAGCTCTGGCATCTGTGCGATTCTCGAATGCTCCTGAGTACCACTACATTCCCACGCCTCCTGAGTCTTCCAAGTGGCGTGAGGTTGACATCGAGCCGAGGGTTTTCCGCGAAGAATTTCCTGTTAACTACAAGCCCAAACCTGATGGGCAGGATGTTCGGGATGCTTTGGCAACAGCTAAGATGCTGAGGTCAACCGTTGAAGGTATGAATCAAGGTACGAATCCAGCATGTAAGTTCATGTGTAAGACAGAGTTCGGTTGTGCCCACTGCATTGCGCCCGGCATATCTGTCGGATGCCCGGCAAAGGGTAGCAGGTCAGATCCTGTGATTGACATGGAATGGATTGCCGACACCGGCAGTGCCCAGGATTTGATTTCGAAGAACGTTCTCGGTGAAGTAAAGGATTTCTTGTCGGATCGGCCTATCAACATGATTACCGCCAACGGACCTAACTATGCTGACAAACAATGCAAGGTTAGGATTCCTTCGATCAATACGACCGCTGAACCATATGTTCTTCCCGATTCACCATCCGTTCTCTCGGTTGGACAGAAGTGCATGGAGGAAGGGTTTGACTTTATCTGGAGAGCTAATTGTAGACCCTACTTCAGGGACCACAACGGGAACAAGGTTTACCTCGATGTGAAGGACAATGTCCCTTACCTGAAGTCTTGGAAGGAAAACGTTGCGCTTCCTGCGCGACCGTGTCCGGAGCCCAGCCTTCCTGCACCGCCGGTTGAAAAGCCTGGCAAAAGTATTGAGGATTCAGAAAGAATTGCAAAAGAGTTACTTGAGAACCTCGACTTCCAGTGTAAGTCTTGTCTGAAGCTACTGCAATCTATGAACTGCAAGCCTTCCAAGAGCAACCGTAAGTCAATTACGAATCGCAAAGGTGGCACCGACGGAAACGTCGAGTATCTCGTGCTTGGCTCTTTCGCTCATGGTGGTGTCCAGGGCATTACTAACAGAACTCAGAAGTATGCCCACTCTACCCGATACATCAATGCGTTCCTCCAGAACCATGGAATGACGGGAGATTGCTCATCGGTTTGCATTAATCATGGTTCGTCTGTTAAGGTTCACAAGGATGCTCACAACATGAAAGATTCCACCAACTTCACTATCAGTCTCGGCAGCTTCGAGGGCGGTGAACTTTGGATTCACGACCCCGCTGCCCGAAAGGGAGAGCACAACGTCATTACCCAGAAGGTAGGGTTGAAGACTTTGTATGGCAAGGAACGTGTCTCCCACAACAAACTTGTGAAGTTCGATCCCAAACGTTTCCATTGTGTTCTTCCTTGGAAAGGGGATAGATGGAGCATTACCGCGTACGTCAATCGAGCTGTTCCCAAGCTTCAGAGCAGTGAAATTGCCAAGCTTCGGAGTTATGGGTTCAATCTCTCTAAGCGTACTGCGATTCCTGCCCTCGCTCCCGAGTCCGAGGACGAACGGCCGCTTGAGGACCTTGTCACACGGGGTTCTGCGGTTAGGCCTTCCGAGCCTAGGACCAAACCTAAGGTCAAGATTAGGGAATCAGAGAAAAAGAAAGAAAAGAAATCTCCTAAGTCCGATGTTGCCGAAGATGCCTCTAGCAAAGCCGCTGAAGAGTTCGACAAGCTTCTTGAAGATCTTGATAGATCAGGAGCAAAGCAAACTGCGGAGCTCAGTGAGCAAGAGCATCTCAGTCGCATGATCGATGAGTTCGGCTCGGACATCGAACCTGATGAACCGCCCAAGCCGGATCTTGGACGACCTCCTGGCGGAGAGTCTAAGGTCCCAGATGGGGAGGGCAGTTCTGATCCCAAAGTCCACAAAGGAATTGAAAAGCTTAAGAAGGAAGCTACTTCGTTGCATCATCTCATGACGCACATCCCTAAGAATCCCTATTGTTCGGTATGCAATCAGGCTAAGATGTACAAGGCCCCGGGTTATAAGACCGATGGCTTTCGTTCCGTCGAAGCCACCAGCTTCGGTGATCACATTACCGCCGATCATGTGGTGATCTACAGGGATAATCATGAGGTCATTGAAGAAGCTAGGTTAGCTCTCGTGATCAAGGATGTGGCGACTACATTCATGTATGCGTATCCTTCTGCGCTCAAAGATGAAATGGAGTGTAAGGCTGCACTTCAACATTTTGTTTCGAGTAAGGATAAGGTTGGTGTCTTCTACAGCGACAATGCCAAAGAGCTTGAGCGCAGTGCCAAGTCTCTAGGTTGGAGACATGAAAAGAGCAAGAAGTAT